AGTCACAAAAGACTCTGTATCCTACAATTCCATTTACATGCAACGTCCAGAACAGTTAAATATGTAGACACAGAAAATTTGTGTTTGCTTAGGTCTGGGTGGAGGGTTTAGGTAGAAATAAGGGGTGACTGCTAATGGATACAGGATTTCTTTTGGAGGGAGGGTGATAAAGACATTCTACAATTGTGTAAAACTTTGTGAAAATACTAAAAATATTGAATTTTACACTCTATTAGACTAACTATTTTTAAAGATGGTACAAATGTCCAGTTTTATAGTTTATGAAACATTTTCTTAATTGGCAAATGACTTTAACATTTTTTTTTTTATAGACTGAGTAGATTTGTTACAAGTCCACAGAACAGAATGCAAGATGATGCCGTTTATACAATATGCTTCCTATTGGTTGTTATTTGCTGAAATTAAATCAATGTGGCACATTGGTCCTGCTTCAAAGGCAGGGAGAGAAAGGATTTCCAATATGAGGAACAATGTACGGATGTAAAAGCAGAAGAAAATAGACACAGAACTGGATATGAAGTAAATGTGTTTTCCTCAACATTCTGCCCATATTGTTCTAAAATAAAATAACTTTCTAAACATTAACACACATTTTAAAAAAATAATCACAATTATACAATAAGTAAAAAATGCAGAATACATTCCTCAAAACACATTTATGCGCATACATGCACACACACACAAGTCTGGCAACTGATGGAACACATAGAGCCAGTTGTTGGGAGAAGCCTTCCTGTTTCCTCCAAGAAAAGGGACATTTCTTGATTTGTCATCTCCACTCTCCTGAACCATTTGCATCCTCAACCCAGGGACAGAGGAGGCAGGGAAGCTGTGGGCACCGGGTTGCCTCTTCTCTCAGGGTTGTCTATGTTGGGGTAGGGGGCTTCCTGGGGAAGGAGGACACTCAGGAATGTGGCTCAGGGAGCCGGGCCCAGGAGGGCAGCCTCTGCAAGCAGCACCGCCACCTTGTGGCTAGGGATGGTCTTACCTCTGTCTAAGTGCCCGGTGACCCTCAGTGGAGCTCCTTTGTATTCCCTGGAAGGAATATTAGATAATTAAATAGCATTCTTTTTCTTGGTACCAGGGATTGAACTCAAGGGCACTGGACCACTGAGCCACATCCCCAGCCCTATGTTGTAGTTTATTTAGAGACAGGGTCTCACTGAGTTGCTTTGTGCCTCGAAGTGGCTGACCATGGCTTTGACTCTGTGATCCTCCTGCCTCAGCCTCCCAAGCAGCTAGGATTACAGGCATGTACCACCACGCCTGGCAAATAGCATTCTTTAAAATATTATCTTTATTGTTTTGTTCTTAATATAAAAGTAATTTAGCTGGATGTGGTGATATATGCATACAATCCCAGCTAATCCCAGCTACTCAAGAGACTGAGGCATGAGAATTGCAAGTAGAAGA